AACATCTTATGAAGAATTAAACTGTCAATTGGATTTTTTTCAAGGATTTTTTTTTTCTTAAATAAAGTGTTTATTAATAAAAATACTTTTCTTGAATTTTCTGTAGAGAAGGCCTCTGGTCTGGATTAGCTTCACATGGTTACCCCACATCAGAAAGGGACAAGCACTTGCCAAGCAGAGAAGTTAACAGAATGAAGACAGTAAATTTGATAGATTCTATATATTACTCTCAAATAGGAATCTTGAAGTGACAATTCTATAAACATGCAGGAAAGCTCTTAAATTTGCAGTCTGCCACATTTTCAATTTTGATGGGAAAGAAGCATATATATTACAAGTGACATGTGCAATAAAACCATATACCAGGCTCCCCTCTAAAATAATGCATAGCTGAACTTGTTCAAGTTTCACAGGTCACACTCATTCTTTCCCAGCACCAACACTGGTAGTGGCCAGTTGGCCTCACGGTGATATAGCCTCTTTTCTGGATACCATTTCTATCAACACAAAAAGCTACAAGCCACTATATTTTAGAGGGAAATCAAGATTTTTTCCACAGTGATGGACAAATGCACTAATGGTAGGTGCTCTGTTGGAACTAGGAATGAACTGAAAGTAACCAGGTATCATAGATGGTTATTGGGATGTTAGCTCTGACAACTAGGCAGGAATGAGAGTACCAATTCACAGAAAACCTCAACAAAAGGAGAGGCCCTCCTTATTGGGACTGACAATTGTTCAAACCAAACTGTTCCACACAGAATATATTCCTCAGGTCCTTCTACAGTCTTCCCTAATTATGCCAAATTTCTTGGTATTTGTATTCTACTCTTTAATTTGCTGGGCTTATTACACCAGGGTGCTTTGTACAGCTTCATTCCTGATGCTGGCAGGGCTCCATTCTGGGATTAGCAGCTTTTGTTCAGGTAACCTGCAGAGTTTAGAGTCTTGACACTAGATGCCTGGGAGATAATTGAAACTCTTAATATCTTGGAGTTTGCCTCCTCTCTACGTCTGCACTGGCCCTGTCTCCACCCATTGCTGTTAATCAGCTCAGCAGCCACACACAGCAAGGAACACACGTGTTGTGGGGATGCAAATGCCTGGCAATTAATTATTTTTCCCATTTAGTGCAGAAAACTAAGTGGCCATTTCTGATTGAGTTTGGGATGGCACAGTAGGCCATCCCTCACCTTCCTGTTGGCATCTTGGCTTCTCCTGGCCTCCACAGAAATAACACATCATTGTAAGAAGGTACATTATCTGTCTTCTAATAATGGTTTGAGCTTTAGAGGGATCCTAAGCTTGTCAATAAAATACCCAGGATCTCCTTAAGTTATAAATTAGGTGATTATAACACTGTTATTGACAGTTTCTAAAGCACATTCAATGTCTACATAAATTTAGACTTAGGAATAAAGAAATAAGCTGATGAAGCAGCCTGAGAAAACAAGTACAGCTGTTATATTTCACAGGCAACTGATACTTCATATTGTAGCTGGCAGAGCTTGAGATAAAAATCAGTATATTTGTGAGAAATAGGAATGCCTGAAGTAGTCTGAAAGCTCTCAGAGTACATGCTCACAGCACAGCCACACATCCTGGCTGTCTCTCCCTTCTCATGCCCAGCATAAGACTTCTTTTTTGCTCCTGTCAGACCTGACAGAAAATAGCTGCTGGCACTGAAATAACAGCAAGGAAGCACAGGAGCATGATTAAACCAGGAAGCCTTGAGGGAAATTTTCAGAAAGTGCACAAATGGGGAGTTTGTACAGAGTGAGTGACAGAACCAAGAGCAAGGATTTGGAATGACTTCTAGGACCCACCGAGCAAGTAACCTCAGTGCTCTGAAGCCCAAGTTTGCCATTTGCATACCAGTACTGCCATGCCATGCACTTCCTGAGAAGTATATGGTCACATCAGAAGCTTTACAATTCTCTGTGAAATAGCAGTATAGAAGGTTATTTGGCTTGCAAACCTTGAAGGATCAGAATCTGGAAAAACACAACTGATTTCCTGTAATTTTTAACCTTAAGGAAACAAGTCCTATTTTTTCATGAAGATATAAATTTACCTATTTAAACATCTTTCTTTTTAGTAATATGGCTTCATAGATTGGATAGCTTCACAAGTGCACACACTAAAACAAGCATTTTTTCAAGCTTAGTGACTTTTTCCATCTGTTCTGCATTTTTTCCAGCTCTTTTTCATCTACTGAAGCATTAAAAGCCATGCAAGAGCTCTAAGTTTGGTTTTTGCATAAAACCAAATTGCTACTTCAGGACAGTACATGGAAAGACATAACACAGTGGATAAGAAAGCTGAATCCAAGACACTTCTTTCTCCCTGCGTGTCATTTCCCATTACTTGGGACTTCAAACTGCCAAGCAGTTGCAAAGCCAAACACCACTGCACGGAACTTCCAGCCAGAACCAGTCCCCAGTTCCATTTGCTCCACTCCAGTTGCCAAGAATGGAGACATGAGCCTGGCCTCATCTCTATTTAAACCACTTATGATTTACAGCATTAGCTTCCGACAGGCAGACAGGGGTAGTTATGTCAGCAAAAAGCTAGAATGAATAACTGAAACTCCACCAAGGGCAGCATACAAACAAGCCTATTTAAACAAGCAATCTTGATGTCAATTATTTATTATCTGCAGCATTTGGAACACAGGCTATTGCTCAGGGTCAGCACACAAATGCTGGATAGTCACACCCAAAGACAAAAGCAACCTAAATTGTTGTTTTTATTTCCCATAACCTTGCTTCTTTTAATTTCTCTTACACAATATCATAATACCAACTGAGTACAACCAGAGTGTAGCTGGAACGAATATATTATAATTTCAGTAAAATAATCAAGTTGCTCACTTGATAAACAAAGCCCAATCTAAAAAGTACAATCAAGGGGGGTGGGGAGAGAAGACATGATGTCTGAAGTTAAGATATGAAAGGAAAATGCAGAACTGAAGTGAAGAAACCAAAGAAAGTGGTTTCAGAAGAAGATTTGCACACTTGGCTGTCTACACAAACATCTGCATTTCCCAGCTACAGGAATTAGCCTCCCATCAGTGAGCACTGCAGTGTAGTTTGATCACAATCAGAGACAATTTGGGGTATTACTTCAATAAAATCTAGCAGATTAATGTGTTCTCTCTTTTTCTACATACTGTTCCCAGGAACATCTTGTGCCCTCTGTTGTATCCAATTTTTAGTTTTCCTCTTAGCAACAACAGACTACCACAATATGCCTATTGGTATTTTTCATGCTGTGACAATCTCAAAGCAGCATTCAGCTTTGTAACCTTGCTCACTAATATCTAGCACCTTCAGTGGCCCTGACAGTGACACATTCTCAGAACATGGCTAGATTTACAAGCACCCTTTGGGACTGTGAAACCACTGTGAAAACTAAGACCTGCAAGATACAGATATTTTTGCATACGTAGATATAATAGCCCCCATAAGACCTGGGGCAGTTCTCTCTAGACCCAAAGGAATTTTAGAAGCACATATATTCCTAGTGTTTATCTACACAGTATGCAGAGCTCCACACTTGGACTGTTTTTGCTGAGCTCTAATATTCCCATTCATACTTTTACAAATGCTGATGCAAAGCCATACATGAGATGAGCTGCAATGATGTAATTTAAATTGGCAAAACAATACCCAGATGTAACTCGACCTCCATAAACCATTTTACCATTTGTATTTAAAGTAGTCATGATCATAAATCTTACCCTTCCTCCAATCCCAGCTATTATATATGCATGCAGAAGAGGGCTCTCTATTCCAGTACTAGTATTTTTGTATCTGACATATGTATTCCATTCTGGACTCCCTGCAGTGCTGTTTCCCTGGCTGCATTCCCAGGATCTTATGCTTCATCATCTGTACAGGTTTTCTTCACCCCAAGTTACTCCTCCCAAGCATCTTTTGCCAGCATCATGCCTCTTCATTGGCTGGTGAATCTCAAATGCCTTTGGATATAACTAGTCACTATGAAATTTGAGGATTTACACACCAATTAACTGCAGAGCATGATCTGTCTTCGGGTTACTGTGAAGCATTCATGCTGTTACAAGATGCATAATTTTCTTTCAGGAGTCGGGGGGAGCATATAAAGATTAATTTTTATATATATACATTTATTTTTTAATATATTTTTTTTCCACAAATCACTGTCTGGTTAGTAACATTGTTCTGTTACACAGCCAAATCCTGCAGAGGCTGTGACAAATAGGGAGGTCATGGTCAAATTTAATAAGATCTCACATTCCCTTGGAAATGCCACCAGGGAGCAGACAAAAGCAGGCGTTTGCTGAGCTCCTGGGGGCGAGCAGAGCGTTTGCAGAGCAGCCCTTGGTATGCAGATGGTGTCGCCGCCTTTAGAAACAGGCTTGGATTGGAAACCAATGGGAAGAAGCTGATGGGGCTAACGCAGAGGGAGCGAGCATGCCACGGCGCTGCTGAGGAGCACAAGCTGTCCGTGAAGATACAGACAGAAGCCAGGGCTGGCTCTTTGCTCTCGCCTCCCTGCTGCGTCCCACGAGAACAGGAAGGGAACAGCTCTGCTTATATAGCAGCGGGGGGAAAGAGAATGCCATGATATATGGTGAAAACTGGGCGCGGGGGGTGGGGGGGAGGAAAGGTTTAATTGATTCCTTGCTCGGAGAGACAGAGGGCTCAGTACCCCCACTGCCAGCCCCGCCACAGGCGGTCCCATCCCCGCCCCGAGGCGACGGGGACAGGCGCGGGTCGCCGGCGCCACCGCGTGGCCGCCCGAGGGGGCGGGTCACCCACCCACGGCCCCTGGGAGCCCTCAGCAGCTTCTCCCTTGAACGTGAGGCTCCTGGGCTCTACACCCAGTAGAAAGGCCAGCGTGCCAAGGCATCTGGGACGGTACAGCTGTAACGTACGAGGAGAACGCAGCGAGGCGCTGGGAGCGGCGACACTGCCAGGAGCCTCCATCCCCCCCGCCCCGCGCTCGGTACCCACCCGTGCTGGGCTTCAGCCGGCTCTCTGCGAGCTCCGAAATGGCTCCTGTTGTGATGGTCTTCTTCAGTCTGGAGACTCCAGAAGCTGCCGCCACCACCCCGGGTTTTGTCAGCATGTCATCGCTGCTCGCCCTCTTCAACTGCAACACAAAGAGCTTGTGAGCAACCACAACACCTTGAACAGTCCCAGTTCAAAACACAGGGTTCCTGGGAGAAAAGGAACGTTTCCATTAAGTAACCCCAGAGGACTATTACTATGATAACCATACCAAATAATTTCTTGGGGGTTTTTTGCCTTTCCTTTGCATTCCAAATTTTTGTGAAGTGGCTTAGGAGGCAATACTGTTTCAGCAGTGAAGGCAGAAAAATTTGCTGTTTAAAGCAGCAAATAATTGAAAGGCAGGGAGAAAACAGCTTACCAGTGTAGACTACTGGCAACTTTGGCTTCTCAGATCCTGCTCTAAACAGCACTCCTTGTATTTCTTCACTGGTTTACCTTTAAGTCAGACATTTGGGTCTCTGCAGGTAAGTGCCAGTTGCAAACCCTGACACAATGAGTAAGTCAAAGCAGCAAATAACTGGCTCTTAATCTGTCTATCAAAAAAAAATCCCAAAAGGACCTGCTAGTTCTTGTTGCTCCACTGAGGATGACAGTTTTGCCTTAATGGTGACCTTAGATCCTCTGAAGAAACTTCTGAGCCACTCCAATAGCAACCACCTGCCAGTTCCTTCCCATGTTTGTCAAACAGGAGTCACCAAACTTCGTGGCCTCATAAACTAGATTACCTGATGTGAAAAACACATGCTGGAGACCAAGCCAAAATCTGAAAATCAATTAGCTGAGAAGCTCAATAAAAGGCAAGAGCAGCCAGTGCAAGATGTAAAGCAGTTACTGATTGGAAAACCATTATCTTAAACATGATTGCAGCTATTTACCCTCTTTGTTTATTGAAAACCAGTGAGCAAAGATGGCAAATGATCTCATGACAGCACCCAGAGCTATTTGTTTTACTAAGGACTATAGGACTCAGCAGAAGAGAAACTGAAAAGCCTGTTCACAAGAAGGCAGTTTGTTCATGTGACCATCAAGGAAATAATTCACTACAAAAAAAACCCAAAACACACTGGTTTTCAGAATAAATCAGCTGCAGAATTCTAAAGATTAATACCAATTTGTTTCATAAGCTTGGAAAGTGAACTATTTGCTTTGCAGGGTATTTTACAGTATGTGCCTTTTAAAACATATTCACTAATTTACTGAGTAAGCCTTACTGGGCAGGGGAAAGCAAGGGACCACTGCTGCCAAGTGGTCTTTTTGGGAGCAGGATATCTGGTAAAGAAAGTTTATTCTACATGTGTCCTTAGGAAATCCACACAGTACAAGCACAATGAACTTAAGATTTAAAGAAAAACACTAAAATTCTATTGCTTCAACAAGCAGAAGTAGCAATTGACCTCAGAACTCTGGTCAGCTGCTTCCTCATTTGCGTGCCTTTGTAGCAGCCTGTGGACCTCTAATTTTAGGAAAAATACTTTAAGCATTTTAGAAGACTAAAGCTCCAGAGCCTCCCTAGAACAGTATTTTCTCTCTTCAGTTTGTGGACAACTAAAAATCCAATCAAAAGCCACTTCCTTTGAAGTTGTCCAGTGACACCCAGGGGGTCCCTGAACCACAGGCTGAAAACCACTGCTCTCCTCATTTAGCAGCTCCTGAATGCAAGATCTCTAAGCAAAATGAAGTCTCTCAGTTCCAATTCTTTTTCCCTTTCATCTCTTCCTCTGACTAAGAGTCTGTGGTTTCCTGGACCCTGTGAGCACAAATTCCAATAGCTGAAGTGTTCATCTGCTCCAGAATACCAAAGAGCTAGCGTTTTGCCTTCTGGCAGAGCTTTTGTCAGCTCACTCTTCAGTGCAGAATGGAATGATCTGGCTTTCTGGCCTTTAGAGATACCTGCAGTTTCTCTAAAGGAATTTCTTCAATGTGCCCTCTTCCAAGAAAGCAAACATCGTGCCTTTTTCTACCCTGCTTCTTCAAGAAAATCATTTGGCTGATCTTGCATTTGCAGATCATCAACAATTTGAAGGTATTAGCTGTAATTACGAAGAAAACCCTCTACATGTAACACCATATACAAATTAATGATGTCAGATTAGTCTCTTCAGTAGCATTTCTGCAGAGATGCTTGCCTCAGCCACACACTTCAATGGAGCACTGGACTGAAATATCCTATTGGTAAGATGCTCAGAGCACCTGAGAATCTACAGAGCAAGTGAAGTAAATTAATCCTTCCCTTGAGAAACTGTGACAACAGTTCCTCCTGATAAAAACTACTGTAACACCTTGTATAATGTTTACTCAACTTTACTATTGGAAACAGTTACAATGAGGAAGCCCATCGGCTATTTTCATCACTGGTATTTTGGTCTGTATTTGGACAACAAGATTATTTTTGTTTGCTGGCTGCAAGGGTACAGATGCAGCAGTATTTCAGGGGATTCCTCCATTTTCTTAAAAGCACTACATTGACAGAAATTTCTGCTATTTTTGAAATATATCTGTATAGAAAGATATATGTTTGTTCCATTGCAAGTAGTATCTTTTATTAAACATATTTTGCCTTGAAGGAAAGGACACAGGCCTTTTTAGGAATTCTAGAAATCCATTAATAAATCTCAATTTCTTCACATGTGTAACAATCAGTTGAACTAAGAATTTGACATTTATTTTTTTCCATCTTCAAAGTTAAGGCAATTCCCTCACACTCAGTGTAAAAGAACCCACTCATACCTTGTACAGATACAGTCTCCCCCACCACATGCAAATATGTTCAGAAATGTGCATTAACACACAACACAGTTATAATCTCCCTATGCTTAACACAGCGGTCAAGCCTAGTCCAAGTCTCAGGGTGTAGTAATATTCCAGAACTAAACCTCAGCATTAAGCTGGAACAAGGCTACAATACTTGCACAGCCCCTGCTGGTTAGTACCTTGCTGAGCCGAGATTCAAAGGCAAGTGAAGTGGAGGACTTGGATGCTTTCATTCCTGTTGGGGTGCTGGAAAGCAATTTTCCTCTGTCAACCCCATGACTCCCTTGCTTTGCTGCTGCACTCCAAGGCCTGGCAGTACTCTTCATTTTCTTCCCAAATAATTCTGTCTACAGAGACAAAAAAAAAAAAGTATATATAGAAATGTATACACAAAAAATACATGTCTTTTTATCATCTGAACAAGAGCAGAGATACCTGGCAGCAGTTTAAAGGGCTGAAAAGGCCATGCTAAACTTCCCCTCCCCCTTATACACATCAAAATTCAGCCTAGAGAACCCTAGAGCAGGCTACAGCCACTTTCATTTTTGCCACACTGTCTGGTAAGCATGAACCACCACCTAAGGAACACTGACCATGTGAGTCACAGGCCTCTACCAGCCACAGCAGAACACCTGAAAATGCTGAAGCACAATGAAAGAGTAACTGAGAACACTGAGGACCACAGCCATGGGGGCCAATCTTGGAATAAAAAGAAGTTACTTCTCTTACTTTTAGATCCAACATCTTCAACTGAAATAACACTTTTCAAAAGTCACAGGAGAGGCACGTTTCCCCAGTTGTACAGAAAATGGTGTCTTTAACTTATCAGTCTTCTAGAGAAGCAGCAGTTGATGTTGCCACAGTGAGATGATGTTTCACAACACCAAGATTTACAAAAAACAGTTTAAAATTATCAAATTCCTTGCAAACAAAAAACCAGATCCCCTACTCCTCAGAGATAAACTTATGCAAGACAGAAGTCCTGCCAGGAATCAGCAAACAAATTCTTTTTTAAAATTATTTATTTATAGCTGAATACATTTAATCTGCAAGCAATAACAACTAGTCTGTTTCCCTCAGTAGGCAGACTATTGCCAATTGAATAGCTAGCTCATCACTTGTAGGTTTAAAGCCACATTTTCACCAACTATTGCCCAATCCAAACCAAGAGCAGAATAACATAATTCATTGAATTAAAAAAGTCCCACCAGTCCAAGCTGGGTATAGAAGGGAGGGGAGATTGCCTGATATCTCCTAACCACCCCCACTTCAGTATGAGCAACATTTTCCTTCTGCAGCTTCATTTTCTAAATTAGACACAGGATGTAGCTGCCTGTCAGTCTTGTGTAGGCAGAAGCTAACTCCTTGTCTGTTAACCAGGTAACCAGCAGATGTAGGAAGAGACCAGCCCACAGCCTCAACCAGGGGAACATGCCTGCAGTGAGCACACTCTCGGAGTCCAGCTGGGACAGGGTGAACCTGGACAGCAACACTTTGATAGAGATGCTGAAACAATTTATTCCTGGCTGAGGCAGTAGAAGGGCTTGAGTAATATTTTCTATCTCGTAATTTGCTTCCTACTTCATTTGGCATTCACAAATAAAAACACTCGCTGAACTCAGGGGAAACAAATCTGTTTGGGGCCAAGTTGCGTCTGACACTGCTGGCAGTCTCCAGGTGCCACCAGGGGCTGGAAGGAATGTCAAGAGCTCTGCTGCTGTCTGACAGAGAACAAAGCTGGCAAGTGACATCTCCTCTGTTTACCCTTGGTGCCTCTTGCAGCAGCTCTAACCTGTCAGCTCCTCAATAAAAAATTTAAAAGTTAGTAGTTACTATTACTAAATATAGTCATTACTCCATTAAAATTCTTAACACATGCAGTGTGGAGCCATCAACTGATCTCATCAGAGGAGAACAAGTAGTCTTTGTTGGTGATTATGCTGATCACCTGGCTCTTTTTAAAGCCCAGACCAAAATATAAGCTATATTACAGCAGATAATAGTGTTCAGCATTCCCACAGCTCAGCAAGCTTTTGGCACTTTACATTATTTAATAAGCTATTTTTATGGGCATACCCTCCACAGTATTTTTATGGGTGAACAAGCAACTACACACACAAACTATCTTCCTGATTAGATCTCCTAATTATGCAAATTTTGTTTGTTGTAGATCCAGTGGTTGCACATGCAGTCTGCTTTTTTTATACCCTTTGGATTTCTTTGTAACTCGATCTTATACTTTCCTGCCTCAAGCTGTACAGATGCTTTCTTGATATCCTAAAGAATTTAATTTTGATTCATCAGTGGCATTTTGAAGTTACAGCAGAGTGATATGCTCATTAGACCATGATGTTAAAAGTAAAAGGATGAGGTTCTTAAATCCAAAAACCACAACTCAGGAGATCAAGCCAGTAGCCTCAGGCAAACTGGCTTTTTCATCTAATGAGAGCTGAATTACATGCCATGTGCATTTATTATTTTACTATGCCATGCAGATGAAACTAATCTTGAAAAGAGAATATTTGGATCTATTAGGTTGATTAATTTTGCATGTATTTCTGTGGGAATCAGCATTTATAAGAGATAGATGCGAGGCTTCTTATCTACTTTGCTAACCTGAGTCTGTGCTGTAGATAAAGATGCCAATCTCTGAAGTGGGATCCCAGTACTTTCCACAAGCAATATTTGTATTTCAAAGAATAAAGCTAAGCTGCACACATCTTAAGCTGCTTTTATTCCTAGTTAGGTGACACACATTTGAGTTATTAGCAGTACTGCTTCAGGAGAAGTGCCACAGAGTTGCTTAAAAAAAAAAAAAAAGAAAAAAAAAAGAAAGAAGAAAGTCTTGCTAGTCTTTGATGAGCAGGAAATCCATTCTCAGAGTCAATATCAGTTTTGCCTCTCCTCCAAATTCAATTTATTTCTTTACAGGAAAAATAAAGTAAAAGCTTCAAGGAAGTTGTGGGCAGTTGGGAAAATGGGAAACCAAGCGCAGCATCATAGAGTGGCTCATGGACTGAGTTAGCTAGGTTAACAGTGACCTGTGAACCAAAATATTGACTTAGACATGTAAACTACTTGCAGCCAGTGAGCACTGAGGACACCTCACATCACTGCCTTCCAAACCCTGTGTGTCCGCATTTCTGCATCTGTGAAACTGCCATCAGGTATTGGCTCCCAGTGGCTTTAGAATATATTGATAGAAACCTACTCTATTTTATCTAAATGTCAGCATTTCTTTCCAAAAGGACCCCAGAGAGATTATGACTTGATCTCTAGGCTACCTATAGAGAAATGTGAAAGAAAGGAGCTTTCCACAAGAGATGTAACCAAGCTGCTTTAGGAAATACAATGACAAAAATCACTAGTTTTACGCCCATTACATCTCAATACATTTCAGCCACGTGTCTGCTCCCTCTCCTGGAAGATAACTGGCTTTAAGCAATGCCTGGGGCTCTATAATTTTAGTTTTCATTTCGTCCTTCACATTTCACAGGGAACTTTCCTTCTGAAGCCAGCAGAATGCCACCATCCTGAGATTGAAAGTATTTATTTAGCATCAGCCAGAGCAGGGCCACAATGAAACCCCTGGAGCATGCTCTGCTTGAAGTTGTACTCTGAAAACACAAAACCTGAAGATAAGCAGCAGCTCCACGCTGAAACAAATGGGGGTTGATGCCAACCATGTATCACCCCAGAGCAGCAAAATCAGTTCTATGCCAGTTACTACCAAAGTGCAGAGGTTTTGGGGGTTGGGTTGTTTTTAAAATCTTTTACAATCAGAAATGCTGGTGTCTGCAGACCCCTCTCCTCTGAAACAGGTGCTGCAAATGAGATAATTGGGGGTTTACAAAAATGTAAAGCTGGTCCTGACTGAGCTTTTTCTTTCAGTAATCCTCAGAATTCCCTGCAGGCATCAGATTTTTGAAAAATTCAGGCCATGCTATATAGTTCATCCTTTCTCACTAGTATTTTTTAAAGGGTATTTGGAAAATTTTGATGTGGACTATTTTGGCAGTTGGGAGAAGTTTTACAGTGGTCTGTTTTACTTGAAATTTTACTTTACATTAAAGCCTAGAACCTAGACATCTCTTTATTAGTCAGTTGACATGCATTTTATTAATAAGTCTTTAGAACTAGCCCACAATTATTCCCTTTTTATGGCTAGAAAAACTGGATTAAAAATGTATCCTAACTCTCACAGGCAGTCAGCATCAGCAGAAACAACACTAGGTCTCTTGGATCTTAAGGCTTGGCAAATTCATCAAAGGAGTAATTCACCAATCCTCTAGAACAAACCTTAGGAAACATTCTGTTGACTATTAAAGGCTGTTTTTCTCTGAATAACTAAAGATAGGTTGACTTGAGTGATGACAAGCAATATTATTGCACAGTCAAGAAACCTAGCATTACCCTATTAAGTAAATAAAAATCATCAGCATATCTGCAGTAATGAAGTTACACAGGAAAACCTCTCCTGAGGAGGGGCTGGAGATACTGATTATTTGTAGCCCACCTACTTGACACAGTTTAAGCTTTGGTGCTTGCCTGTCTGTAATACTACTCACTCAACAGGACAGGCAAATTAAAGGAGAGTCATTCAAGTTGCTTTGGGAAAATGAATGAACAAGAATTATGAAAGCTCATTACTGGATCTGAAGAGTATGTGCCAGCTGGCAGGTTCATTGAGACCTGGGAATGCCCAGCACTTGTGAAAAATGAGGTCAGAAGTGCCAACTTTGCAGACAGGACTCTCCAAGGACACAAGTCTGTGACTTTGGTGGTTTAAAACCCACAGTCCCCAGTGCCATTTTCCTGTAATTCAGTTACTTTTCATTACATCAAAAGGTCAGACTATTCCAGAACCTTTATTACACATTCTCATGAAATCAAAGCACAATTCTCTTTTTTTAGCATGTAAAATTTGCACCATGTTTATATTATTTTTCCTTCTAACCAAACCAATCCCTGCTGTTCTCAGACAAACTCTATCACCTAGAACATAGAAATATCTAACAAGTTCAGTAAACTGTAAAGCATTTTCTACCAGCACGTAGGAAGCTATACGGCAGGATAGCCAGCTAGGCTAAACCAGAATCCTTTTCTGCCTTTCACATCAATTCACTTTAAACAATTTTTAGGCTTGACAGATGCTTCCATATGACTCATCTTGATTTCTTAGCTGATATCAGGAATCAAGGCAGGGTCACAAACCAGGGAAGCTGAGAGTCCAAAATGGTAATTGGTAGCTTGGAGATAGATGGCACAGATAAAAAGCTATTTGGAAATAAGTCAAGGCTAACAATTAAAAACAAACTGTTTACGC